CGGGGGCACAGCAGCAGCTCCTGGCTGAGCCACCTCCACACCCGGCAGCCGTGGCTGTCCCAGTGCTCACCTGCACCAGGTGACATCTCGACGCTGGGCTGGGGAACAGCACCAAACCTGCAGGGAAGGCTGCCACCCTGCTGCTTCCACACCAGCTCTGCTCTCCAGGACAGGGCTGGCACACAGAATGCCCAGGAAAGTGTTGCCCTCGTCAGCCAGCCAGGGTGGCACGGGATGATCTCTGCTCTCCCACACCCATCCAAGCCTCCATCTTCACCGCACGCCACACTCAGGCACTGCCACACCTTTGGGTCCAGCTCCCACCATTAGCTCACCACTCAAAAAACATAAAATATGACCAAACAAAAGCTGACCTTTGGGGCGAGGCTCATCCCTGCAAGCCCCTGGCTGCACCCTGCCCAAGCCAATAACAACTTGCACAATTCAGATCCAGAGCCAAGAACAAGATCTCAGCAGCCTCGGAGAAACCCACAAGCTGGCAGAGCAGGTCTTCCCATGCCAGCCAGCATCCTGCCACACAGAGCTGGTTTTCCCCCCTGCCCTGGGCGTGGAGCACTCAATACCTCACAGAAATGCACTTTTCCCATCAAGGGGATGGCCTGAGAGGCTGTGGGTGCTTCAGGTCAGCTCCAGAAGCAAACACAGCGTAAGGCCTGGAGGAGGCTGCCAGCAGCCATCTGGGAATGGCACAGACGAGCAGCTTGATCATCCCAGGGCTTGGTCGAGCTGGTAACGTCATGCTGGAAACAACAGTTGCTCAGCTCTGTGAGGAAGGCAGCCCAACCGGAGGAGCCAACAGCTGCAAAAGCACAAGGACTCATCGCTCACAGCTCAGGGAAGAGCTTTGGCACAAAGTGCGAATGCGAATATTCCCTTCCCCAGTGTCTGCTGCAGCTCAGAGAGCAGATGGGATTGCTCAAACACCGCCCAGGCAGCCCGGCCCTTTTTCCCCAGCTCTTGCCACGCTGCGTTTGTAGCTGGGGGATGAGGAGCAGAAGGTATTTCCATGCACGGGATTATCTAGAGACAAGGGCTGCCCTAGCTTCTGGAGGGAAGACTTGGAGGAAGTTTCAAAACTGGAGATATTAAGCCAGAAATAGCAGCTTTGGCCAGAGCAGATCTGTTGAGCTCTGCCTGCAGCCAGGCCCCTGCAAAGGGATTGCTCTGCACAGCAACAGGGAGTTCAGGAACGCGGCTGTTTGGCGGCTGCAGGTGTGACTGTAACAGGATTGACACTGGGATGAAGAGCAAACAAACAGGGAACAAAAATTACAGTAGTGCCTACCAGCAAACTGAAAGGCACAGCCCACCCTGAGGGTGTTCAGGATCAGGCCTTAGGATTCTTCTCCAAAACCCCCTTTCTGTGTGCCTGGGGGGATGTGCATGCACACCTCTCCGGGAAACCTGCTCGTGAGCAAATCCCTTTCAGAAACAAACCAGCACCTGAGGATCCTCTTTAATACTTGTTCTACCACGTATTAAAACGGCTGGATTTAAGGCCTTTTGAAAACAAAAAGCAATCAGGGAGGAGAGCAGAGGCCAGCCCTGTCTGAGAGCCTGCGCAGCACGTACCTCTCTGCAAAATGCAATTCCCCTCCCGGCTCCGGAAGCAGCATTCCAGGCCAGAAGAGCAGCTGAGAGGGGAGCAGAGAGAGACAGGGAGTGAATCCAGTCCTGACACCCAGCATCACCAG